GGATTACTCTCAATTTAATCCCAAACCATTGATGCACAGCTTGTTACCTCCATATCCACACTGTCTACACAACTCTTGGTGTCAGAGCCCTCTGGGCAGGCTGGATATGGTACAAATTAGTCTTCCAGGTTTCTTTGCAGTGACTACTGCTCCTGGTTTTCACACCCTCCTTCCAATGATCTTTTGCTGATGATCCCATTTAAGCCCACTTTAAATTACACAAAATAAAAACAACACACTCCCCCCTCCATTTAAGCCCCCATCTCATGAAATTGAGGCAGGTTTGGAGTCAATGATCCCAAATGACCTAAATTGTTTTTGAGTTTCAGGTGCGGTTCCTGGAGCAACAAAATAAAGCTCTGGAGACCAAATGGAGCCTCTTGAAAGACCAAAAAGTTGTGAAAAACAACCTTGAACCCATGTTTGATGTGTACATCAGCAACATGAGGAGATTGCTCGAGGCTCTGGGAGGGGATAGACTGCAGCTCAGCTCAGAGCTGAAGACTATGCAGGGTGCTGTTGAAGACCTCAAGAGCAGGTAAGCAACACAGAGAGGAAGAAACTTTCATTTCTTCTTCACTGGTTACAGCTCCTGTGTAGTTATCTCCATATAGACAAGGATGAAACCTGAATCTCGATACTATTGAGCACTCTGAATAGACCCATTTCTTACTGGTGTGAGTTCCTTTCAAGGAGAGAATTGTCCAAAAAGAAAGATCAATTATAACTGAGTGCTTTTGCTTGGGTTTTTATTTGTTTTAATTTAATTATTATAATATCCCTTAATATCAATGTATTACATGAGAGTTTTAGCACTTCTGAAAGTCAGGAGTTGCTTCCACCCCACTGAAAGCCACTGAAATCTTGGGTTTCAGCTCAGCTCCTGAACCCTCAAGGCTGTTGGGAGGAGGTTTCCCCTCTCTCATCCACTCTTTGCACTCTGCAAAAACATCTCTCAAGTGTTCCTGTCTGCTACCATGCCCACGAGGGATGCGCTGCTCAGTGGCTGTGAATAAGTAAAGAGCTTAAATTGTCAGTCTGGAACCAGAAAAACCAGAGAGGAGAGCTCAGCACAGGCTGCAATTCAAAACAAGGACACGCGCATTCTGCCAAAATCCCTCTGCTCTCCCTTTCTTGGGAGATCATGAGTGACACTTTCTGCCTTTACAGCAGTGCCTCTAGCCCCAAAGTAGCATTGGAACAGGAACAACTGCCCTGGGGAAGTGAAATCACCATCCACAATCTGCTTTGAGACGTCTGACAGCTCTCTGTGCCTTCAGAAATGTTTAATAGGGAAAAGGACACAGATTTTGTCCTGTGACAGTTTGACCAGGTAAGACTTTGGAGTCTGCTACAGGGGTGTGAAGGGGACTACAAGGATGCTGGAGAGAGACTGTTCATCAGGGACTGGAGTGACAGGACAAGGGGTGATGGGTTCAGACTGGAACAGGGGGAGTGCAGGTTGGAGATAAGGCAGAAGCTCTTCCCTGTGAGGGTGCTGAGGCGCTGGCACAGGGTGCCCAGAGAACCTGTGGCTGCCCCATCCCTGGCAGTGCTCAAGGCCAGGTTGGACACAGGGGCTTGGAGCAAGCTGCTCCAGTGGAAGGGGTCCCTGCCTGTGGCAGGGGTTGGAGCTGGAGGAGCTTTAAGGTCCCTTCCAACCAAAACCATTCTGGGATTCTACAAGTCAGCCATCTGGACTTCCTCAATTCATTCTAATGACATCCCAGAGATTAATGTCTTTCTCCATCAGCTACAAAAGAAACCCCAAAGAAGACAGCTTAGCCAAAATAGTCAAGTTCCAGGTAGCTGACTTGAGATGAATCCCAGCTGTAAGCACAACACTGCTACCAGTTACCTGGGTCAGAGAGTGCCCTTCTCATCACATCAAAAAGCTATTTCTAACATTAGCACAGTCTGGACCAGCAAAGCAGCTGAGAAGAAACCCTTGGGTGCACCTTGACTTCAGACAAGAAATCCTTTGACAACCAAAGGCCACATCATAGAAGAGGTTCAGACTTTAATACCCGGCCTCCATGTGTCAAAGTTCTGGCTCCTGATCACGGAATCTTTAGCTAAAAGCTCAGTTACATCACACACATCACTGGGAAGGAACCATCAACTCACGTTGTGGCAACAGTGCCTTCACCAACCAAAAGGATGTCACTGCTTCTGTCCCTGTTTCCTTGGAATTTGTTTTTCTCACCTTTATTTACTTTAAATTTTATGGTTCCCAAAGTATTCTTGCTAATGCTTTGCTCTTCTGAGTCAAATACTGTTCCATATGGTAATTAGAAATTAGATATATGCCAAATTAGTTTTCCTCTTTTATGCGCCTAAGAGATTAGAGATCTAAATACAGGCTAGGACTTTGCTTAATGGGAATGATTTTAAGGGTTGGTTATTCCTGAAGTGAAGAAATCTTTCCCCATGAAACGGTCATGAAGGGTCAACGTTTTATTAGCTGCATGGACTCCTTCCTTTGAACTCCTGCCTTTCATCTCCCCCATTTACCCCTTTCATCTGAGTGGCTATTGTTGGGTTTTATCCTCCCCCAAGAGCAGGACTGCGCACTGCTGATGACCCAGACCTTGGCTCTCCTTGCCCACACCACCCTCCTCACTGGCCATCCCCAGCCCTCCCGAAGCCACCGCTTTTGGGAGCTGGCGTCAGAGATCCGGGCTCTTCTGACTAACAGAGGTGTGGTGGGGATGAGCTCAGCATGGCTCCACCCAGCCCTCCTGGCCTGGGAAAACTGGGAGAGGACAAAGCTCCCATTCGCAGCAAGAGCTTCTGGGAGCGTAAAACGTGCCTTTAATGAAGGCCTTTAATGCAGCTTCCTTAGATGGCCTCCTCTCACCACCTAGCCCAAGGGTGCTGTCTTTCTATCACAGTCAGTGAGATACACATATCTAATAACGCTACGTAGAACATATGCACTGACATGGCAAGGACACAGCATCATTAAGTAGCTACTTTTGTTGTTTCCTCCAAAGATCTATGCATTGGTAGTAAATGCCCCTGGAAACAAACTCTTCAGTATCCCCAAAAGCAACCCAAAATGAATGCATGGAGGAGGGATTCCCACATGCACATGGTGGACCAGGTGAGTTGCAGCATTGAAGCTGTACAGGGATGCTCATCTCCCCTTCCCAACAGGTGCCAAGAGGAGATCAACAAGCACACGACTGCAGAGAATGACTTTGTTTTGATCAAGAAGGTGAGGCAACAACAAAGAAGAGACACACTTTTTAAAGGCAAAATACATTTGAATGCAAATAACCCTTTTTATCCAGCAGTGCCAAGCTGGGCAAAGCACTTAGCAAAGGTGTAGTCATCCCTCCTCGAAGCAGAAACACCCAGTTGTGCTGGTGTCAGTCCTTGGCAATATTTCCTTCTTGTTTCAGGACCCTCATCCAAATTCAGGTTCCCTCATCCCCCAGGTTCCAGATTAGAGCTGTGTCATCCATACTAGATGCTCTGCCCCTTCTGCAGCCTTGCTGTATACAATCCCACCCTCCACAGACCCCCTGATCCTACCTGCAGGAGATGCAATAAGGAACTTCCACGATTTCAAGCATTGTCCACATCATCTTTCTGTGCACTGGCAAGAAAATCAGGAATTCCAGTGGCTTCTGACTTGCCAAAAACTGCTTAGACCCACAGACATCATCCCTCCCGCAGAAAAGGTGAAGGGAAGAAACCAGTTCACTGTTGGCTCTGTTCAAAGGCACTGAGGTCAATAAAGTCTTCAGTTCTGTCTGTCTCCAAAGGTTCATGCAGATAGGCAAGGTTTGGTTCACTACCTCTGGTGATGTGATTCCAGGAGGCAGATGCTGCTTAAGTGAACAAGGTGGAGCTGGGGACCAAGGTGGCTGCACTGACAGATGAGATCAAATTCCTGCAAGCCCTCTAGGAAGCAGTAAGAACATCCCAGATTTCCCAGTTCTGTCTCCCCATTTCCCTGGTACCAACAGGAGAGAACCAGTCTGAGAGAGCTGCCTGGAGCTGCAGTTCCTCCCCATTCCCATCTTTCCACCACACATCATCTCCAGGACAACCACAAACAGCATTGGGGATCAAGTATGAATTTGTTTGACTTACAGGAGCTGTCTCAGCTGCAGATCTCTGACACCTCCATGGTCCTGTCCATGGACAAAAACCAAAACCTGGACCCAAACAGCATCATCACAGAGGTCAAAGCGCAGTAGAAGGACATCGCCATCCGGAGCAGGGCAGAGGCTGAGTCCTGGTACCAAAGCAAGGTGATGATGGAAATCAGTCAGGTGAGTGGAAAAGTTTTGTTCAGCATTTCCCAAAGGCTATTTTATACTGGGGAGTGCGAGCAGAGATAACAGGGGAGGAGGTTGTAAAAATAAGTTAATTTGGATGGGATTTTATTTAGCTTCTTGAATGCCAATTTGACAATGAGAGATGGAGGAGCATCAAGAGACAGAGGCAGGAAGGAAATGTGCTACAGCTCATGAGGAAGAGCTTGGATTGCGTACAGAAAGAGACAGAAGACCCAGTGCAGAGAGAAACATAGCAGGGTCAATCTCTACCAGTGTGTGCAAGCTCCTGCCCAGGTCTGACTGTGCCCTGGTGTCTTACCTCCATTCCCATCTCAGTATGAGGAGGTGCAGCTCACGGCTGGCCATCACAGGGATGAGCTCCATAACACCAAGAGGAAGATGTCAGACATGAACCAGATAATCCAGCATCTCTACCCAGAAATTGACAGTGTAAAGAAACAGGTATGGTCATGGTGCACAGGACCCCTCCAGACATGGGGGCACCTCCATCTCCACGACTTCCATGGCTGGAAATCGGGGTCCAAACCCACTGAGCAGCCACCAGACCTATTTCCACTTCTTGCAGCACACCAGTTTGCAGATGGCCATCACAGATGCTGAGCAAAGCGACAAACTGGCCACCAAGGATGCCAAAGCAACGAACTGGCCAAACTGGAAGATGCTCTGCTCCGGGAGTACCAGGAGCTCATGAACGTCAGGCTGGCCCTAGACATCGAGATCATGACCTACAGGAAGCTCCTGAAGGAAGAAGAGAGCAGGTGAGCGGCTCCCCCTCTGCAAACCAAACAATGCTCAAAGCCATTGATGTTTTCACATTTGCCTTGCAACAGGAGAGGGAAGAGCCACACAAACCTGCAGTGAGAACACCCCCCTTTCCTACACAGATAGAATGGTTTTGGGTTGGAAAGGACCATTCAGTTATCCTATGTCCCTGGTACAAAACTGCTGCTTGAAATTGTCCTAAATAACAAGCACTTACCTCTCTGTCTTCTCTTCCACGCTGGCTGAAGGAGCTAGGGCAGTGAATATTTGTAAGTAACCAGCTTGTAAGCCATTGATGGGGTATTCTTTGAGTTATTCCTTAAATGTACCTGGAACTGAGGATTGATTGATGGCTTGGCTTAGCGAGTGAAGATTTGGGAAGGGCTTTAACCATGCTTACAAGCACGGAACTGAGGATACAACAATGAAAATGAGCTATGCACCTAGGAATTAACAGCAAAAACTGGAGTATTAGGGGTTTGCAGCAACCTGGGGAGGCCGAAAAGCATCTTTTCTCTGCCCAGCTCTGAACTTGACAGGTTTTGTACATTGAGATTGTTCTTGGGAGACTCATGTCCAAGACCAGGACTGCTGCAGGATAGGAAGAAAAGCCACAGATTACAAGCAGTGGTAGCCTGTACAAGAAAACACAGGAATGTGTGGAACTGGAGGTTGAAATTCCTTTGTACTATTCCAAACCAGCTAACCCTCACTGTTTCCCATCACAGTCACGGTCTCATCTGGAAGCAGCTACGGGGGTGGGAACAGGCTTCATCAGCAGGCTCAGCGTGGGGGAAAGTAGTGCTGGCTCCAACGGTGGGAGCTGCCTGGCCCAGGGATCCAGCTGCAGGAAGCAGCTCAAGCACAAGGTTTGTATCCACAAGCACACCAGGAAGAGCCATTGGAGCTAAATCACAGCAGCACCAAGCTCACCCTGAGCAGATGGGGTTGAGCACCACCTCCTGCCACCAGCACAAAGCTGTTAACTCCATCCACAGAGCCATGCTTATCACCTTCCCATGAGGGGAAAACCTGTTCCCAGCTCTGTTTATTAGCTCAGGAGAGGGGTCCCTCCAAGCCCAACTAATTCCTCTGCATAAAGCCTCACGCAGCTGACCAGAAGCTGCTTGTCAATGAGTGATCAACCCTCCCATTAAAGGGTGCCATGGTTAGAGCTCCACTGGCAGCTTCCCAGGCTCCAGTGCCCTGATGCAAATCCAGAGGAGATGCAGGACTTCCATTTACACCATCGTACCTGAAGCAGAATGCATCCCATCACCTAACCAACCCTGCTCCCCACTGCTGGGCTTGCTCACCCCAAAGGTTCAAAGAATGAAAATGGAGCATCTTTCAACATAGAGCAAGTTGCTCTGCTTCCCAATTCCTCCTGCATTGGTTGTTTCACTCCAGGGCTCTCCAGCTCTACCTACATGCAAAAATGCAGCCTTCATTTCCATACAAGGGCTTGGCTCTCTGTAGCGTCCAATTCCTCACCCACTCAGTACATAGCATCTAAGCCAAAAGACCGTGTAACCTGCAGGTTGTTAGACCTTGTCTCAGCATCAAACCATTCTATGTTCCACCTGCCAGACTGAGCTTAAAGTACAGATGGGGTTAAAAATACAGGGGAAACAAAAAGGAGGAACAGCATAAATTTTACATAACCTGGAAAAACACCTCTGGTTTAACACCTTTGTTCTTGGCTTTTTCATTTTTTCCTTTCTTTTTATGGCAGGAGGAGGGTTGGACAATACGTGCCAAAAATGTAATCAGCTCATCACCTCTCATCTTCTGCTCCCATTGAACTGGATGAGTTTTATGATGTTTTCTTCAATAAACTGCAGTCAAATTTACTACAAGCAGCGTGGGCTTTCTGTGCCAAATACACCTCAAAGTGTAATTTTAGAGCAAGGTTTAGATTTGCCATAGGCACTCACTGTCACTGAGAGCTTCCCATCTCTTCCTCCATTTGAGCCACGGAGAGGAGGGGGAATACTGGAGACAGGGATCACAGAGCAGCAACACCCAAACTCTTTCTGCACAGCCAACAGGGCAAGACCAGAAGGTGGGGCTGGTTTCACCTGGCCATAAACGCCTACATCTGAGCCAGTCAAAGGACAGAACCAGACTATTTTGGGTCAGATGATTGGTTTCCCAGTAGCACCTCCCTCTGTGGGACTGAAAGCGCTCTAGGCAGTTGGCTGGAATCATCTGCATTGCAGGAGCGCTCCAAAAGGTGTTTTAAAGTCAGGAGAGGTGGATCCCCCACATCAGAGCTAAACTTCGGGAAAGGCTCGTTACAGACCTGCAGCTTGTGCAGGGCAAACAGGAGGGATTTCTCTCCATCCCCTCCCTGGAGCAGCCAACAGAGCCATCAGGCCAAGTGCTCAACAGGGATGCGATCCCAGGGCAGTGAGATGCTCCAGAGCTGAGGTTTCTGTTGGGTCAGCAGGTCAAAGCCAGGCTGGCTCAGACAAGCTGAGCTCCATTCAGGTCTGTAACTAAAACCCCAAGAGATAAAGTGAGAAGAGAAGCCAACATGACTTCTTCCATTCCACAGGAGATGCCGGCTCTCACATGGAGCAGCTGCTCTCCAGCATCCAGGGCCCAACCATGGAAGATGCTGAGCCCTCTGAAAGCCTTTTAGGCTCAGTCCCAAAAAGTGCTTCAGCACATACAACTCCCACACAGCTTTACCCGAAACCGTTGTGTGGCTGGAAGAGGCAGGCCAGCTTTCAGGCTTGCACATAGGAGCTTCTCCCTGATGCTCTTCATGGAGCAGAACGTGTTCTCAGGCCATGGTGAATGGTGAGAAAAATCACATTAAAGCAAATGCACCTTTAGAAAAGGCTGAGATTTCCAGGGCTAAGCCCTGGGTGTTATCCCCCTAGAGGGAAGAGCATTGAGAAGGCTCCCACCAACAGCCCCTTCACTTCTATTTTCACCTGGTTTGTTTTCTAGGAAAGATTTATCTGCCTTTCCTGGTCTCTCTGAACCCCTCTCCTTTGCTGAAAGATGAATTCTGATATAATCCAAACTTACATTCCCAAGTGATTTCACCAGGAGGGAATGACCAAGCCCAGTTCTCCTGTAAGATATTCCCTATGGAGGACACTTCTGTAAGCAGCAAGATGAGGGGTGTCCATGGATCTGACTGGAGGCAGATCCCATGCCATGACTCCCCCCAGAAACTTGGGAAAACAACAGACTCCCTCTTCAGGGCATTCAGTGGAGGACAGAAGCACAAAGGTAGTTTGAGGACCTCCATCTATTCCACCTCTGCATTTGGTTTTATCCTGGCTAATGCAAAGGTCTGAGCTGGAAAATCCTTCCCTGCTCCCATGCCCCCTTTGTGTACCTGTTACAAGCCAACAGAGCTCTAGCACCAAGAAATCTGCTTGTGCAGGTCCACCTCTAGTCCTGCGGGAGAGAAAAGATTGGGTTTGAGGCAACCAAAATCACAGAGGTCAAAGAAAGAAAGAAAAGGGTGAATTATTCTGCTAACAAAAGGCCAAACTCATGTCAACCCAAACCAGCCCCAGTGTTTGGATCCCTAGAATACTCCCAAGAGTTGAACTCGGATTCTTCTTTTCCCACATGTAAAACAAAGCAACGCTCCTTCCCCCACTCCCAGTGCCCCACAAACATCAAAAGATTGATTCTGCTTCTCTCTTTCATGCTTCCTATAAAAAAGGGAGGCTTGCAAATGCAGCTTTTATGGGGCCAGGGATTCCCTCCCATATGCAGCCCATAACTCAATAGGTGTGTGTTTAAGAGCAGCTCAGATCACTGCTCAGTGGCGAGCAGGGTATTACCAACCAACCTACGCTCATAAACATCCTTAGAAAACAGTCTTTGGGGCTGGTTGTGCAGCCAAAGCCTCTTTTCCTGGGACAGAAAGAGGTGAAAGCTCTCCCTGCAGAGGGTTTCTGGTCACATTAATGCATGTGTTGCCTCCTGCTTTCAGAGGATGGTTTGGGTTTGGAAGGAGCTTAAGATCATCCAGATCATTTCAGCTTTTCCCTCTGCCTCCATTCCCCTTCAAGCTGATCTCCACATCCTGATAATCCAACCCCATCTACTCCAGAGCTGGGAGCACGTGGAGTTTCAGCCCTGGCTCTGCTGTGACCCCAAGAAAGACAGTGTGGGAGGTGGGGTGTGGGGTACCCCAGGCTGGGATGCTGAAGCCTTGGTGTCACTGCAGGCTGTAAGCCCAATCCAGTGTAGATGTACTACAGCTAGTGTACCAAGCCATGGTACAACTACAGCCCCTCAAGCATGGTGTTGGCCTACAGTGAATCTGGCTTCGGCTGCAGGATCAGTGGAGCCCTGGGGTCTGGACCCATTGCCAAGGTCACCGTCAAGGAGCTCCAGCTTCTCCAGCTGGAGATGAACCCAAGCCTTTATTCTGGGAAGCACCAGGAAAAGGCACAGATCAAGACCCTCAATAACAAATGTGCATCTTTCATTGATAAGAGATGCCCAGTGCAGAGCCATAGCAAGCTGCTGCACAGCACACCTGAGACAGGGAATGCGTTTGCCAAACTGCTCAGCAGTAGCAGCAGCTAAAATTTGCAGACAGGACCCATTTGAGCTTTATGAAGACATTTTGCACCACTGTTAGACTAAAAAGGAGCCTTCAATGGGGCAAGAAGGTATTTTCATGCTCCAGGAGCATTCTTGCAAATGGCAATCAAGCTTTGCTGTTACATGCAGAGAACCTGATTCTCTAATGCCCCATTTTTATATCATTTGAACCCTAACTTCAGTAGAATCACCTCTGATTTACCCCACTGGGAGCACACCACATCTCCTTATCTCTACACCACGGTGATCCACAGGGAAAACACCTCCAGTGCAGACAAGTGATATTCCTGCTGCTGCCCCCAGGGAATCCCTCAGCCCCAAGCATCCATTGAGGACGCCTCTATTAGTGTGCAAATGGACAAGAGCTGAAGCCTGGACATGGATGGCATCATTGATGATGTCAAAGCTCAATAGGACACCATTGCCAGAAGCCAGGCGGATGCAGAGTACCACAAGGTGAGTCACGATGGGCACTCACAAACACAGTTATTCCTCCTTCTAAGGGCTCTGCTTCCTCAGATTCCCAAATTTGGGTTGAATAGGCTTTGTAAGGGTTTGCTTCCTGAGCTCCTTGATGCGTGTTCCCTTCGTGTGACACATCCTCTGTTAATGTCTTCACACACAGAGCTGCTACTGTGTAAATGAGTCATTCGTGTCCCCCAGTCACAAAGATTTGTCCTTCGAGCTCAAGATCCGGGACTGTGGCTCCAGAATCATGGAGTAGGTTTAATTATTGACTCATCTCCTCCCTCTGGTATTTGTTTTCATGGCGTTTTCTCTCTCCTTGGTATGAGGAACTGAGAGGAACCACTGGCAAACACGACAGCTTGCAGAGCACAAAGGATGAGATGATGGAGCTGGTGATTCAGACACTGGAGAGCATGGAAACACCAAAGCCCAGGTAGGGATGACTCAGGAGCAAGAATGTGTCAGTTGCAATTCCCAGCTTGTGGCTTTCCAAAACCCCTCCACTACAGCAAGGAACAATAAAGCCAGTTCTGATGGAATACATGTCAGCTGCTCCACTCCAAGATGTGCCTGTATCCAGAGCACAGAGTAAAAAGGTCTATTACTACTTAGGACTGAACTACTATCAGTAGAGACCTGCAGTGAGAACACATGAACACATACACCAAAGCAAAGAGGCTTTGGCAGAGAGAATCATCCTGGAGTTAGAGGTTTCCCTATAGAGTCTGAGAACAGAACAAAGAGCAGGGGATGAATACAGAGGCAGGGTCAAGATCTCCCAACTCTTCTAACTGGTGGTGATGAAAATCTCCTACCTCCAGAGATCAAGCTGGAAGGAGCCACTGATGAAGCTGAGGAGCATGAGGAAGTGGTTGTCATGGATGTAAAATGCAAACTCTACAAGCTGGAGGTACCCCTGCAGAAGGCAAAGCAGGACATTGGGTGAGAACCAGGAGCTTGTGACCATCAAGATGCTCCTGGACATCAAGATCACAACCTGCAGGAAGCTGCTGGGTGGAAAGGAGTGCAGGTGAGTGCTGGTACAACCCTGCAGGGTGCTCGCAAGGAAGAAATAGCGATGCATTAACCCCAAACCACCCTTCCCAGTCTGCCTGATGACCTCTGTGGTTGCAGTAAACCCCACCAAGATCCCACGTCCCAGGGAGTGACACTTCCTAAAGCACTTTCTAGCATTTATGGACCCAAATTCCTTACAAACAACAAGAAAATGTAAGTAAAGCACAGAGGAACACTAGTGCAGGGCTCAAAAGCTTTTAATGCACTCAGGCCCTTGGGTCTTCCCCCAGCTGGAAGATCACACATGAATAAAGATGGTTCGTGTGGCTTGCAACCACTGCGTAGGGAAGGGGAAAGAAATGCAGTAAACAAAACTAAATCACTGGGTTGAAGCTTCCACCCTGCCCCTTGAGAACAGAAACCACGCCACCCTCCCACACCACGGCGCCAGCCCCATCCCTGCTCTTCCAAAGACCTGGACGCACACACGCGCGTATCCGAGCCCTGACACCGCAATGAGGGCAATGTAGGAGGTGAAGGACCAAGCCTGGCCCTGCCCCAAACAAGGTGGGAACCCAGTCTTCAAGCTGAGGAATGAGGGGAGGAGGAGACGCCACTTTGCAGAGGATTTGGCCAATAGACGCCTCTGCAGAAGTGTTCCAAGCATTGGTTTCAATGGCAACGAATCAGCAATTCCCCCAACAACAAATGATGGCGTTGGAAAACACCATCAACCTGCAGAACAATCATCCTGAGGAGCAGATGTTGACTTGGCATTCAAACACATTGCCTTTTTACAGGCAGAACCAACAAAACATTGAATCCTAACCTGCCTGCCCTACTCTGTTCATTAATTCCCAGTACATTCACATTTATCACTGTTAGTTTTTATTAAAGAGCAGGTTGAGTCACATTCCCTCCATTGTAAGCTGAGGTGCCAGCAAGACATCAAGATTTCCCTTGATAGAACAGCATTTTACCTTTGTCAAGTCTCAGTTCCACTTCATCCAACCCAGTAAAAGTTGTATGCTCCCCTTTTTATGACCACAATTCACCAGCGTGACCCCTCTAAACATGCCCCCTCTGACCTACCAGCATTCTTCAAGCCTTCATGGAGCAAAGCTGCTGCTGCTGTCCCGCTGGCAGGCGCACTGCATGCTGAGCAGTTCACATTCTTTGCATCACAAACATTTTGTGGAAGTTTCATGCAGCCTCACCCCGGTTTCCACCAAATAAAAGGGAGAAGGTGCTGCACTGTGGTCAGAGGGAACCTGCTTCCAGTGCATCACTGCACCCATCTCTCTCCCACCACTGACCATGTTCTGTTGCTCCTGCAGCGTCAGCTCTGGCCGTGCTGGCAGGAACTTGGGTTCTTCCTCTGTAGCTCTTCCCAGGAACCGATGTAGTTTCAGCACTGCCTGGTGTCACTGGGGTGGTGGCATGGGCTACTGCAGCTTGGGTTACTTCAGCAGCAGAGGTCTTAATGGTGTGGCATGCTCCAGGCCCAGAATGGCTGTTGGAAGGTGTCCTCCTCTAAGACGTGGATGTGGCTTTGGTGGATCTGGCATCGGGTTTGGCTACAGAGGCTTTGGCTATGGGGTTGGTGGAGTCTCCAGACCGTGCACCATCATACCCATCACCATCAACAAGCAACTGCTCCAACCGCTCCGATTGGAACTGGATCCCAATGTGCAAATGGTGAAGAACCAAGAGAAGGAGCAGATGAAGACCCTCAACAACCAATTTGCTTCCTTCATTGACAAGGTGAGCTGAGAACCCCTCCCCAGCTGAAGTCTGCAATAGGTGAGGTGTCTGGCATGGAAAGGGCATGGAATCCATCATTCTGGACGCTGAAGGCAACTTGCTTTAGGGTGACAGTTGAGCACCAGGGTGGGTTTGAGACATTGGGGAAGCTTCAGTGCACAGGAAGGATTGCTCTGATTTCTAGGCCTGACTACAGAACAAGCTAAACCCAGTTTCATCAGTGTTCCAGTTCCTCCCCAATTCCTCTCCACACATCCCAATTTAATGCAAACCTCTCATCTCTAGAAGTACTCTGGGGTTTTGTGCCTTTCCACAAGGGTGGCCCAGAACAGAAGCCACTCAATTAGGAAATGCTGCATTCAAGAGCACCAAGAACACATCTCACTGCCGTTGCATGGACAGCGGCTCCCAGAAGCCCTCAGTCCTCATCTCATTTCCTATTTTGCTCACTGGGATTCAGGTCCGATTCCTGGAACAGCAGAACAAGATGCTGGAGACCAAGTGGAGCTTTCTGCAGGGTCAAAATCACAGCAAGAACACCATCAAGCCCATGTTAGAGGCTTACATTGGGAACTTGAAGAAGCAGCTGGAAGCACTGGGGAGCAACAGAGCCCAGTTAGAAATGGACCGGAAAGCAACCCAGCAGCTTTTGGATACCAACAAGAACATGTAAGTAAAAACCAGAGAAATGCGAGTGCAGAGCTCAAAATGTTGTGCAGGATTTGTCAGCAGGCAGAGATTGAACATTTTATAGCAGTAAATGGTTCCCAGAGGACTAGTAGATAGATGGAGAGATCTACAAATGATCTTGGTACATAAAACAAGGCTCCAGTTTACAGAGATGGAGGAAGAGGAGGCAGAGCCTAGGGTGACACAGTCTAAGGTGAGGCGTCCCTACCCATGGCAGGGGGTTGGAACTGGATGATCTTCAGGTCCTTTCCAACCCAAACCTCTTCCAGGTTTTCTTTGTCTCCCTCCTAAGCCAAGACATTAACATTTAGAAGCGTTCAACAGTTATTTGCTGTTGCAGAGGTCAAACGAAAACAGCTCCGCTGCAACTTTATAGAGACACAGAAACCTCTCTGAAACGAGTTCGCTTCCCCATGGGCAATGGAACGAGATCCCAAAACACTGTTAGGGAAGAAGGAAAATAACGAGGAGTTTCACTTCTTCAGAGGAGCCCTGCAGAAACCCAAACAAAGGTGTAATTGCATTGGATGCAAGCGAGATCTCCCGTTTTCCCACGCAGGTACAAGGACGAATGCAGCCAGCGGCCCTGCACCGAGAACAAGTTTATTGCCCTGAAGAAGGTGAGCAAGGGGCTGTTTGAACTCTCCTCTCCAGGCTCAGGTCTTTGGGGTGATTTATTTCCCAACAGCAGCACACAGAACAAGTACAAGCAGGAGCTGGAGCTTGGCTTCGCTTGAACTCAAATCAGCAGCAGCGGTGTAATTGGGACTTGGCACACGGTCGTGGTACCAGCACCCAAAGTCCCTCAGCCCAAGGGTATCCCTGGGTCTGCTCACTGACAAACTTCTTTCTTCTTTTAGGCTGAGAAAGTTGGGGTTGTTCAGCCTGGAGAAGAGAAGCTGCGTGGAGACCTCAGAGCAGCTTCCAGTATCTGAAGGGGGGGTATAGGGGTGCTGGGAAGGGGCTCATCATTAGGGACTGCAGTGACAGGACAAGGGGTAATGGGTTCAAACTGAAACAGGGGAAGTTTAGGTTGGATCTAAGGAGGAAATTCTTTCCTGTGAGGGTGGTGAGGCACTGGAATGGGTGCCCAGGGAGGTTGTGAATGCTCCATCCCTGGCAGTGTTCAAGGCCAGGTTGGACAGAGCCTTGGGTGCCCTGGTTTAGCGTGAGGTGTCCCTGTCCATGGCAGGGGGCTGGAACTGAATGATCTTAAGGTCCTTTCCAACCCTAACTATCCTATAATTCTACCCCCAATGTATCTCCAGGATGTGGACGATGTTTTCTTACACAAAGCAGAGCTGGAAGCCAAGGTGGGAAGCCTGAAAGAAGAGGCTGAATTCCTGAGAAAGATCTACAAAGAGGTAAGGCAGCGCTCGATCACTCCAGCATCCTTTGCATTTCCCAGCTGTATTTTGAAGCTACTGATCCCAAAGGAAAAGGGAAGAGGGGTAGCACAGGGCAGTGGTCATCCCTTGGGTGAACAGCAACTCATCTCTGTGTGGTCATCACGAAGTGGGACCGAGTTGCACAGGGTGGGTGACACGGCTTGGGGCCGGGCTGGAAGCACAGCGGGACCAGCATCTCTGACCAGCTCAAGCCCATCTCACCACCAGGAAACCCACCAGCTGCAGACCCAGATCTCTGCTACTTCAGTGGTCATCAAGATGAACAAAAGCCAAGATCCAGACCTGGGTGGCATCACTGCGGATGCAAGGGCTCGGTACGAGGACATTGCCCGCAAGAGCCGGGCAGAAGCACAAGCCTGGTATGAAAGTAAGGTGAGAAAGCCTGGAGAGGGAGGGTTTGGGTGCAGCTCCTCTCTTCAGACCAACTTCAAACCCAGAGAAACACCATCCCCCCTCCAGATTTACTCTGATTTAACCCAAAGCGTGTTCCGGGACATCCTTTGGGTTGTTCTAGTTCAAGGAGCTGCGAGTTACTGCAGGCAGAAACACCGACAGCCTGCGAGAGACAAAAGCCAAGGCAGCTGAGCTGACACGGAAGGTCCAGAGGCTGAATGGAGAAGTCAAGAGTGCCAAGGACCAGGTGAGCACCAAGACCTGGTGAGACCAAGAGCCAGGTCTGGTTGTCTCAGCAGGGCAGAGAGTGAATTGCTGTTGTGCTCCCACATCTAAATTAAATGGTGCTGTAGCACGTCCCATGAGCTGGGACCCTGCTGCTCCAACTAGAGCTGCATTAAAGCCCAGCTCATGCAGTACCTGAAGGCAGATGCAGTTACAGATGTTCCCCTGCAAGCAACATAAGGGAGCAAAGAAACTACAAGTCCAGCTCCCTTGAACCCCAACAGAAGGGACTGCTGGGCTGAATCCACAACCAGACTTGAGCCCCATCTCCTGACAATGCATGAATCACATTTGAAGGTAGCAAGAGACAGCCAAGACTCACCCTGTCCTGCTCCTTGCAGTGCACCAAGCTGGAAGCCGCAGTGGCCAACACTGAGCAACGTGGGGAGACATCCATCAAGAATGCGAAGCAGAAGCTGTCCGAGCTGGAGGATGCTCTGCAGCAGACCAAGGCAGACCTGAGCCAGCAGCTCCGCCAGTACCAGGAGCTCATGAACGTCAAGCTGGCCCTGGATGTTGAGATTGTCACCTACAGGAAGCTGCTGGAGGGAGAGGAGAGCAGGTGAGTGGTGGGATCATAGAATCATGGAATGGTTTAGCTTGAAGGGACCTCAAAACTCCTCCAGCTCCAACCCCTGTCACGGGCAGGGATACCTTACACTGGAGCAGCTTGCTCCAAGCCCCTGTGTCCAACCTGGCCTTGAACACTGCCATGGATGGGGCAGCCAAACCTTCTCCATTCAACCCATCCCAGTGTCCCAGCACCCTCACAGGGAAGAGCTTCTGCCTTATCTCCAACCTGCACTTCCCCTGTTTCAGTCTGAACCCATCACTCCTTGCCCCATCGCTCCAGTCCCTGATGTGGGTCCCTCTCCAACATCCTTGTAGCCCCCTTCACACACTGGAAGGCTGCAATGAGCTGTATGAGGCTAAAGGGCTTTGCATTTGAAGATAGGTGGATAATGTACCACCCTTTCCCGTTCTATCCAGGCTCTGTGCAGAAGGTGGCTTCCCCATCAACAGCTGTAAGTTGGAATGTTCACCTTCTACCAAACTTGGGCATCTTCTGCCTCTTCTCCAGGGAATTCCCTAAGGTGAAGCCCAGCTTTGCTCTGCCTTTCCCAGCAGTGAGCTGCAGCGACGATGGGAGCAGCAAGAGCACGAGGAGCCCCCACATGAAGGGGATGCCCATGACCAACATGTAAAGAGCTGCAGATGTGGAAACAAAGCAGCACACATCCCTTTCTGCCAACACACAGCAACAGCCAGGGGACACACAGCTCCCCAGGACTGCCCATGTTCCACTCCATGGGGATACTAAAGGCCACTTTTGGGTGCTTGAGAGTTTTGCTATTTCTGCTAAGGAATTCAGGAGCAAGAAGGGCTAAAATCCCCCTCATCGCCCCCATTATGCAGTTAAACCAAGGTGCCTTTAGTGCAGTTTCCTGGTCTTTCCACTCCTACATTCCAGGATTAAAATGAAGTGGGAGAGCAGACACCTTCTACCTAAGAGCATTTTCATTACAGCTTTATCCATCCCAGTTGTTTCCACAGATCCCAGCTTGGATCAACATCAGTTGACCAACAGCTTCACCAGTCAGGCTTTTACATTGCACACAACCCAGGCATGAGCAGAACTCACCTAAAACAGCCTGGCCTGCAGCTTCTCTACACACTGCATTGGATTCATTGATTACTTGCCCCAAAGGATAGATTTCAAGGGCTGTTGCTGCTTGAAGGCAGTTTGCTTATGTACCTGCACTACCTGCTTTGAAACTCACCTTCAGCTTTCCTTTTTCTTCTGAGTTCTCAATGTTTTGTCTCATCTGTTGCCATAAATTCCATCATAACCAAAGGGTCTGGGGGCTAAACTCTGCTGTCAGGTAAAAAAAGGGCTGAGCATCAATGTGTGTCCCTAGGAAACAAAGCTCCTCTCTGACCTTGTACAAGGGATCCAAACCCATCCTTAAACACACAGAACCAGCATCAACTTCTTCCCTAGTCATGCAGTACCTAACCCATTGAACTGCTAGAGAAGGACATGAACCCTACTGGAAGGAAAAGGGGAAGCAGTGATTTATTTCTAATGACTACGTCTTTTGTCAGTGGCTTTTATTCTGGCTTTAGTCTTGCATCTCTAATAAACTGACACAGCAACTCAGGTCCCTTCATTCAACACCTGCAGTTGGGGAAAGGGGGGTTAAGTCTTGTCTCTGCTCCAGGATCCCAAATGCCAAAGCTCAGAGGGGTCTAAACCAGACAGGCTGAGCCCTGCATCCACTGGGAGCTCTTCCTTCCCAACCCAGACACCGCACCTCAGTGGCTGTCCATAGCTCCCAACGTTTGCTCTCCATGCACACAAGCAGCTTTGCAAGGAGAGGGTCGGACCCTCTCTCCAGAGCAGCACCGAGGCGAAGGCACAGCTCTCCTCTTCCTCATACCCAGCACACAGGGAGCAGGTTCCCTGACACCCTCGTGCCAGTGAGGCTCAGAAACGGGTGCTTCCCTGGTTAAACATCTTCATTAGGACAGGGTGGAGATCCCAACGACTTTCCCCCAGGAAAACCAAACAAACACAAGCATTTGAGGGCACTGACTAAGCAAAGATGCTCCGTGGATTTGCATAAAGCTAATTGAAACTCTTTATTACTATCACCGATTGCTAAATCCTCTGAAAACCATCCCCTGAGTGCCTCAAGCTGCCTGGGAACACCTCAGAGCCAGGTACCAGGAGCTGCTGGATGGCTCTGCAGCCCCTTGTCCTTCCTCTCACCCTGGCACTGGACCAGCCCCACAGCAGAACAGACCCAACACCAGCCCATGCTTTATCCCTCATACCCATACCCATACCCATACCGCAGCTGCTTCAGTACAAGAGCACAAAATCCCACCATCACCCATAAGGAGCAGAAAAGCCTCTTCCCATCTCCAGTGCATGGGGTGTTGCCCTTTATAACCTCATCAAGGCAATCAGGCTTCCAATGAGGCTTCCCAGGTGGAAGCCATCCCAGGATAAAAGTTGTTTCCCCCCCACACCATGCTCCTCCCTGCACAGTGGAGCTGGGCCCATACTGGTTCAATGCCATTTAATTCCCTTTAAACATCAGATGAAAAGCTCCATCAACCTCAGAGCAGGGTTTTAGCCTTAGGAAAACTGATGGAAACTGAAGTAAATGCAGCTTAAACACTGGGGAACCCAAGAAAGCTCCCCAGCATCTGCAGCCTTCTTCCCAGGCCCGGTTGCATCCAAGTCCTCACCTTCCCCTGCCTCAGTTTCCCCTTGAGGAAGAGCAGAACTCACCTCCTTTGTAGAGCCCTCTGACACCGGTGGCCACAACAGCACTGCCAGTGAGCTCAGTCCTGTCATTACCATAGCACACATCCAACCTTGCCTCCCTTGGTGGTGGTACAGCAGAGCCATAGGGGTCAGTGGATGGAGCAGTTACTGCATCCTGCCAAGCAGCCCAGTAGGAAACAGCAGGGATGGTCCAGCTGGAACACAGCATCCAGCTGGGACACTGGAGAGAGGAAACCAGGGCAGCTCCTAGGAGCAGAGAAATGCAGAGGCCAGGGGCAAGCACTGGTGGCACAAACAGAGAAGTCTGACTTAAAGCAGATAAAAACTGATCAAGTACAGTTAAATAAGTACCATAATAACCATAATAACCATAACAGGAGGAAAAACGGGGCTGGGATGCATTGGCCTTTCCCCAAAGCATGAACACAGACGCATCCCAGAGATGGCACCAGCAGACCAAGGACTTGCCCCTTCGAGGAGGAGCTGCCCTCTGCAATTGCCTTTTCTTGCCTCCTGGCTCCACTTTCCCCTCAACACAACCTCCAGCTTCCCCTGAATTCCCTGAGCCCAAATCCACAGCAACCCCATGGAGCACAGCAGCTCCCTGGGTCACCCTGGCCTGACCAGGCGCATTCCCAGCCCTGCACCACCACGAACATCCTTGGTGTGTGACTTTATGCCCATTTCAGATGTTTGCTTTTCTTCTGAGTCACTGCAAAAGAGGGAGGCCAATAAATGCTGTTTTGTACCATGTTAAACAACCCAGTACTATTGCACTGAGTTGTTTAATGGCTTTTCCTACCGTTTAATACCTCAGCATCCCTTTTTGCCTCTCCATCAGTGGCATCCTGCCACCAGCAAGGGAAGCTGCTGATGGGAGGCAGAGTCTGGCACCCAGTACCCAGCCCAAGTGACAGTGAGTGGTGATGCTGTGCCCAGCAGTGATGCTGTGCAGAGAGGGCTCTGCAGGGGATGGGTGCTGGGTTCCTCTGGGTCACATCCGTCTCCTGTCTCTACCAGTGCAAAACTCATCCCCATTGCAAAGCTGCTTCTGAAGCTGGATCATTTCTCCTGCATCCAACCTGCAGGAAGTGCAGGGAGCAGAACACTGGGGATGCACCCGATTTACACCCAGTCAGGGCACTTTGGCTTCACAACATGACCCAGCTTCAGTGTGTGCTTGAGCTCAGGACCCCCCCTCGTGTGCATGAGCGGCAGCTCAGGGAGGGGATCCTGCCCCTCTGCTCTGCTTGGTGAGACCCCACTGGCAGCACTGGGTGCAGCTCTGGTGTCCTCAATGTAAGGACATGGAGCTGTTGGAGCAAGTCCAGAGGAGGCCACGAGGATGCTCAGGGGCTGGAGCAGCTCCCATAGGAACCAGGCTGAGAACATTGGGGCTGGAGAAGAGAAGCTGCGTGGAGACCTCAGTGCCTGAAGGGGGCTCCAAGGATGCTGGAGAGGGACCTGCATCAGGGACTGGAGCGATGGGACAAGGGGTGATGGGTTCAAACCTCCATGGACTCACAAAGACACTTCCTGGTGTTCCCACATTGTGCAAATCTCCTCTTCCCCGGCATACGTTGTCCTGGGAACATGGAAAAGCTGCAGCCCCCCAGCCTGCACATGCCCCTTCCATGCACGCCTGCTGCTCCCCAAGGATTCAAGCGATGGAGCCCTCATCACTTGCTGTCCTACACCTCCTCACTATAGCAAACAGCAGCAACCAGTGGCACCCACTGCCAAACCCCCCTGGGCAGTGCTGCCTTTGAGCTCTTCATTTCAAGGCATTCATTTCAGTTTGATTTCTTGGTTACAACACAAAAGCTGTGAGCTGGGTGCTGGGTGCTGATAGCAGAGCTCTGCTGGGCACCCTAACGCCTCCCTGCCTTGACCTTAGTGCCATGTGTGCAGTAAAACCACACACAGGCTCAGCACAAGGGGCTGGGTGGTGCTGGGCACCAGAGGAAAGGGATCTGGGTACTGCAGAGGCAGGTAAAGCATCCTTGGAGGATGCACAAACCAGCCTGGAGGCATCAGTGACTCCGAACCCTCTGCCTGGCCCTGGCCCCACTGGGGTGATGCTTTGAGCATCAGCAGCTCCAACCAGGGCTGGCCCCACCATGGTTCTATGAGAAGGGTGGGAGCAAGCACAAACCCCCATGGGTGAGTCCTCCTCACCCCACAGTGCCCCAAAAGGAGCAGGAAGGAGCTGTCCTCATGCAGCAAGGCCCAGACTCTCCTCTCCAAGCTCTGGCTGTTGGCAAGGGGGCCTCCTCTAGCGCACAGCAGAGGAAGATGATGCTTGGGAATGGATTGGTCTCAGTTTCAGTCCTGACCAGGGGCTGGGCTGCAGCCAAGTGCTTGAACAAACCAATGCCATCGTCCCACTGCTCAGAGTGGGATCAAGCAGGTAAAATTCACCCAGAAATGGAAGACTGTGCAGGCAGCAACCCCTAAATCACAACCACAGCATGGCACTGCTCCAGGGCAGCAGGCTCCGGAGGCAGGAGGAAGGGATAACACTGGGCTTTCCCAGAGCATCCAGGGCAGCACAGACAAGGAAAGTGGCTGGCACGGAAGCAGCATGCAACAGGGAAACTTTATTAACAGCCTCATGACAAACTCCCAGACCACAAAGGCATAAAACAGCACTGCTAGGACACGGCTGAGCATGAAACACCACAATTCTGTGCAGCTTCTGTGAGCTTTTTATCCCAGAATCATTCCTACTGCAGGAAGAACCTATTGCCCTGGCACGGTTCAGCTGAAGACACACTTGGGCAGGAACAAGTAGTCATTGTAGTGATGCATTAACAAAGCACGCTCTTCCCTACCTTTAGTAGAGACACCAGATACGCTTTGAAGGCCAGGGTGGTAAAAGAGACACTTGGAGATGGGGAATGTTTAAGTAACTTCATATCCCTTAAGCTTTGGGCTTCTTTTAAGGAGAGGGAATGGGGTGGGGAGCTTGTTTATGAGTTGCTTGGCTAGAAAGAGCCTGAAAGTAGATCTGCCTGCATTGCCTTCGGTGAGAAACCAGCTTCAGCCAGAGGAGAATCCCAGAGCTCCATTTCTGAGCCATTTCCAAAGAAAAGAGAACCCCAAAGCAGTTTCACTCTTTTCTTCTTGGGGAACGTTAACAAAACCAACCCAGGCTGCAACCTCAGCAAGGGCTGAGCTGTTCTGGGGAGCCCAAGGGAATGAAATGTTCCCAATCCTATTACAAGGCAGACAATCTCCTGGTGTCTTTCCCAAACCCACAGCCCAAGTGAGGAATTCCTTGCCACTCAAATGATTCCTTTCCCATTCAAAGGGTGAAAGCCAGCCCTGAGCAGGGGGTACCAAGCACACAAGTAACAAAAGCGTTATCCCGCCTGCTTCACCGGATGAACTTCACCCTACAGGCTTGAACCTGCTCTCCGTGGAACAGCTCCCACCAAGTTCAGGAGTGCAGGATCAAGCCTGGGGTGATGTGGCCGGGGCAGGCACTGGTGTTTCTCACTCCAGTTCCTTCACTGCTGGAATTCTGCAGCCAGTTTGTCCTAGGAAGGCAACAAAGACTTTGCTCTCTATGGTTTCCCCCCTCCCATGTAACGGGTACCGCTGCTCTCCACTCCCGGCGTTACTTCCTGAAGCTTCTCCTGCTGGACGAGGTCGTGGTGACAGTGTAGGACTTGGTGGCACCCCCGGAGGAGAAGCCGAGCGCTCCGCTGCCCATTCCTGAGCCCAGGCTAAGGCCTCCTCCGAGTCCTCCTCCCAGCAATCCACTGGAACTGGCAAAGCCACCTCCACTGCTGGAGCTGACCACGGCTGCGGCACGGAGAGAAGGAAACCAAACGTGAGCATCAGGGAGCTTCAGTCCCAGTTTGGCACCCCCAGAAAGGGCAGCAACGAGAGGAAAACTCTCTCTGATCCCTACAAAACCCTCATCTCCTGCTGCATTTTTGCCTGGAGCGTATTCTCTGTGCTAAGCCAGATGCACCCAAGGGCTGAGCAGGCTCCATCACCAGCACTCAACCTGGCTCAGGACCCTGTGCAGCATGGAGAAGCCCATATCAAACACGTTCAGCTCATCTCTTGGTGCACCACAGAGGCTGTGGGCATGTGGTTCACCAGCTCCCAACAGGAAGTAAGTGGATGGGAAGTAGAACCACTGGTTTAGAGCTGTAGACAGCACCTCCAACACACCAGCATCTCTCCAACGACAAGGCAAGGTGAACACCCAGTGCTTCCCAAGCTGGAAAGACACCCTCTAATGTCACCTTGGCACTAACTTCCAACCCAGGCAATTCATTTCCTCATTAGCACATATAAATACAGGAGGAAAGGAAGACCAATATTGCCCCAAGTTCAATTTCATACACAGGAGCTGGGGCTGAAGTCTGCCATGGAGCCAACAGCACTACCAAGGTCTGTCTTGGGGGGCTCCCATTTAAGAAGGGGTTAACTGGGCTGCAGAAGCTAAGGCAGGGCACTGAGGCTCCTGCACGCAGCCCCAGCTGGTCCCCACCTGCATTTGCTCTGTGTAACTACCATAAAGCACAAAACCAACTCACAGATGTTGACGCTGCCAACTCCATCCCCAGCCAACCTGTTGGAGAAGACAAAACACAAAGGCAGAAAGGAAGAGGCCAGGTTAGACTCTGCATTACTCAGTGCTCCCCCAGGGCCCCAGTGCTGAGGGTGAAGACAATGGCAATGGGTTATTGCTGTTGTAAATAATTCAAACAAGATACATGTGCCATGCAGCGCTTTGCTTTGGCCCTACAGTTACAGCTCTGTTATCACCTGGGGAGAAGGGGGGCTGAAAGAGCGCAGCAGCTCTGTCCTAATCCCATGGGGATTTGAGCCACTTGGGAATTTCCTGCCACAGCACTGAACAAAGGATGGAAACAACTTTTTCCTTCTTTGTATGTTCTCTCCAAGAGCATCACATTCTCCCCAGGACTTGCCCCAGTTTGGCTCTTCAGCCAAAGCACTTTGAGGACCAAAACCCAGTTGAAAGCGCACAGTCCTCTCTTCTGGAATTGGGATTGGGCCCTCAGAACGTCCCAAGCAAAGGGAACAAAGGGTTGGACCTGCCCCATGTAAAACCCACAGCTTGCCCTCACCTGCTCTCCTCTCCCTCCAGCAGCTTCCTGTAGGTCGCGATCTCGATGTCCAGGGCCAGTTTGACGTTCATGAGCTCCTGGTACTCGCGGAGCTGCCGAGCCATGTCCTGCTTGGCCTTCTGCAGGGCTGCCTCCAGCTCCTCCAGCTTGGCCCTGGCATCCTTGAGGGCCAGCTCCCCACGTTCCTCAGCCTCAGCGATGGCTGCCTCAAGCTTGGCGCGCTGCAGGGACAGAGCAGGGTACATCAGTGGGCATCAGCGGGCATCTCACCTCCTTGGTGCCCATGGACTTGTAAGCATCTCTATGTATCTGCTCAGCCCTGGAGCCTTCTGCTCAACTGAGATCCCTTAGAATTCATGCCTACACACTGGTTTGGATGCTGGATGGAGATCAGCTGCAAAGGAAGCTCATCTCCGGCCAAGTTGTGTTCTTCTCATAGGCAGACCCTACTCTCTCCACTGGCTACAACTGTGGAAGACTTTCTTCAGGGGATCCTCAGCCCACCCACACCACACACAACAGCACAACACTTGGGGTTAATGCAAGCTCAGGGTTTCTCTCCTATTTATTATGCCCCAAGAGCTTGTTTGGTGCCAGTTGGTCTCCACCAGGCTTTGATGTGAGGCAAGAGCAGACCTGCAGTTAACAACCAATGCAGACCAAAAGCATCCCTGTGGGGCCACATCAAGCTGGCAGCCCTAATGCAGCCTCAACTGTGCCCCTGCACCTCCACAAAGGCCCTGTGCTTGCCAGGGAGGCCTCACAATGAACACATGTACTTTATGCTCTCATCCATTATTCAAGGGAGCTGCACTGGGTCAGCTCTTGGCTTGTATAAGTGTGCATTGAAGCCTCCCTGCCCTGAAACCAAACAAACAGGCGAATGGATGAATCACAATGGCTTATCTCCAGCTTTGTGCACCCTGGTTATTCACCACCAGCATCCAGTCCTCAGCCATTCACTGGGCTGGCTTGAACCAGCCGTTTGATAAAGCGATAAGGGCCCTGCCACAAGCAAACAGAACTCCCATACAGCTGTAAAATTCCCTCCTGTGCCCAAACATGGACAAGGATCCCAGAAGCCAGAAGGCCCAAGGAATGTGTGGGGCCAAGAGGGAGGCCACACACAGCAGTGCCCTTTGGAGACAGCTCTGCATCACTCCCCTTGGTGCTACTGGGTCGCTTGTGGGCTCACCTAGAGTTCAGCTATAAACATACAGACTCTCACCTATAGTTTAACTACAGACAGAGAGACTCTCACCTACAGTTCAGCTACATAGAGACTCTCACCTATAGTTCTATATAAAGACAGACTCTCACCTATAGTCCAGATACATAGAGACTCTCACCCATAGTTCAGCTATATAGAGATCTACCTGTAGTCCAGTTATAGAGACTCACACCTGTAGTTCAGCTATATAGAGACTCTCACCTACAGTCCAGCTATAGATACATATAGACTCCCACCTATAGTTCAGCTATATTGAGAGACTCACCTATAGTCCAGCTATAGATACACATAGATTCTCACCTATAGTCCAGCTATATAGACAGACTCTCACCTATAGTTCAGCTATATAGAGACTCTCACCTATAGTCCAGCTATATAGAGACTCTCACCTATAGTCCAGCTATAGATACACGTAGGCTCTCACCTATAGTTTAGCCATAGATACATACAGACTCTCACCTATAGTCCAGCTATAGATACACAGACTCTCACCTATAGTTTAGCCATAGATACATATAGACTCTCACCCATAGTTTAGCCATAGATACATTTAGACTCCCACCTACAGTTGAGCTATAGATACATACAGACTCTCACCTAGTTTAGCTATATATACATATAGAATCCCACCTACAGTTTAGCTATAGATACATAGACTCTCACCTATAGTTCCGCTATATATACATACAGACTCTCACGTATAGTTTAACTATATATACATACAGACTCTCACCTATAGTTTAGCTACATATACATACAGACTCCCACCTATAGTTCAGCTAAATATACAGAGACTCTCCCCTACAGTTTAGCTATATATACATAGACTCTCACCTACAGTTTAGCTATAGATACATTTAGACTCTCACCTATAGTTTAGCTATATATACATACAGACTCTCACCTACAGATTAGCTATATATACATACAGACTCTCACCTATCGTTTAGCTATATATACATTTAGACTCTCACCTACTGCTCACATCACACCCTCACCTGCGCCTTTGCGTTTTCGATCTCCCCCTGCAGCCTCTGGATCACGCGGTTGATCTCCACGATCTCGTTCTTGGTGTTGCGCAGGTCATCCCCGTGCTTCCCTGCGGTGACCTGCAGGGCCTCGTACTGCCATGGGGAACAGAGAAAGGGGTCAGGCTGGCACTCCCGGGGCTAAAACCCCTCCCAGCCATGCCAAGCGGATGCATGGACTAACCAAAGCCTTTCTGCATCCCACACTCACCTTGCTCTGGTACCAGGACTCAGCCTCCGCCCGGCTCCTGTTGGCAATCTCCTCATACTGTGCTTTGACCTCTGCAATGATGCTGTCCAGGTCCAGGTTTCGGCTGTTATCCATAGACAGCACCACTGAGGTGTCAGAGATCTTGGCTTGCAGCTCTTGAAGCTCCTGGCAGTTGCATTAAAAAGAGTACCATTAATCATTGGCTTCTATGGGCCTCTCTTTTGGAAGGCAATTAAAGAGAGAATCCAAGAAGAAAAGGGTGAGGGAGGCAGCTAAGAAGAAGTCAATGAAAACAGTCATTAATTAGAAGGAAACAACTGAATCACATCAACCTTGCAAAGCACAAAGTAACCGGCAGCAGGAATGAAGATACTTATCAGCCACATTCTGACAGTGAGGTTGGGTTATCCCATTCCTGAGATAAACGCCCAGCATGGAATGCTTAATCCAAGAAACATGAGCATCAGCTTCACAGCAATGCAAGGGCCAAATTCCACCACCCCACCCAAGGATGCAACGTGTCCAGTTCAGTCTCTTACCTTGCAAATAATGGGTAAGATAAAGGAGTCTGGGACAAGGAGCTTTCCTTTCTGTCCCTCTCCCAACACACAAAACACCAGCACACACCAGCATTACAGCCCTGGCTGTAGCACAGGGGTTTCCCATGTTTCATGCTAACAGCATCAATAAATCCATTTCACATCCCAGTTAGGGAGAATCACTGTGACAGTTCACAGAGCACTCCACTCGCAGGTCTGGTTTTGCTCATCTAAGGGCACACTCCGTGTCTCCATCACCTCTCGCATCTCTGGAAGCAGCACATTCATTCTCTCAACCACCAGACACTGTTCTTCCCTCCCTGGTGGTGCCACACTGGAGCAGCCACCCGAAGCACAAAGGAACTTACCGCATCATAGAGAGACCTCAGGAAGTTGATCTCATCCGTGAGCGCATCCACCTTGGCCTCCAGCTCCACTTTGTTCATGTAGGCAGCATCCACGTCCTGCAAGAGTCAGAATCCACTGAGATCACTGCAGCTTTCACCACTAAGTCCACCCAGCCTCCAAAAGCAGTCACGAGCCCACCACGATCCCCAGGCTCCCTATGTCCCTCTGCCCAGTGATCCACCATGTCCTAAAAGCCATCTACCAGTGCACTCAGTGCTGCTGATGTGCAGGATCCCTTCTGTTCTGTAGATCCCTGGAACCATCTTTGCAAGCCCAGTGCCAGTCTGGACAGCCAAGGGAAGCCTTGGGAAACGTCCCAAGGATACAGCCATACTCCAGGACATCCCTGGGATCTGCACTGCTTCCTAGAAAGCCTCCAGTGCCTCCTGAGGCAGCCTTTAGCCAGAAAGGAGAGCTCAAATTCCTCCCCTGCAGTCTCTAGGCACAGCTAAAAGATGAAGGGCCAGCAAAGCAAACGTAGGGACAAAAGGGGGAGAAGGGCTGCGAGCCCTCATGGTGAGCCCCAGGGGCCAGCCCTGCACGCACCTTCTTGAGCACCACAAATTCATTCTCTGCTGCCGTGCGCTTGTTGATCTCATCTTCATACCTGCCAGGAAGGAAGGCATTGGTGAGATGTTAGAGCCTGGGGAAAGGGGAAGCATCACATCAAGAGTTACCCCGAGTGGTTTTAATCTCCCTCCACTTCTGTCTTTGTGAGCAAGCTCATCAAAGCCTGTGACCTCCCCAAGTCAGGCAGAGGCTTCCTGTGTGCCTTCTGCACAAGAGAAATGTATGCCCCATTTCCAGGGTACTGTTTGGATGAATTGAAGCCTGAAAGCTATTCTGGTCCCCAACACCACGGCCACTAACATGGAAAGCCTTTCTCACCCCTGCTTTCCCATATTCCTTAACATTCACTGTGTTTAAGAAGGTTTCTGCTCCTTATCCTCACTCGTGGATGGCTGCAGGATGGCAGTGTGGGTCCTGAGGCTCCCAACTTACCCCTTGAGAGAGCAAATACAAAAGCAGGAAGGGATGCCAGCAGGTTCAACCAATCCCTCTCTGCTGGTCTAAGCAGCTGCTGCTGCTGCTTTCACTGGGCACTTCCTTATTCCAGGCATTGGAGAACACTTTGCAGGTGTCCATCACAACACAGCCCTGGTACAAGCTGAGTGCAATGGCCCTCATTCTGCACAGAGTGACTCTGCTTCAAAGCTGCTCCAGCTTCTAGAGCTGGCTATAAGCCTTCTTCAGGTGGTCACCTTTAGAGGTAATGAGCTAGATGCTCAGCAGATAAAAACCATGCTCCGTTGGCTTTACAGCATCACTGCTTTGTTCCTGGTCTGCCTTACTCCAGCTCATGTACAGCCACTGCTGAACCAAACAGCAGCATCCTGCTGTAGGAATCCTCAAAGTCATCCAAGGAGCAGAGCAGGAGCCACCTTCTCTGGCTGTCTGGGGATTCCTGTTGCCAAAACCAGAGCACTGCTCTCTATTTACACAGTCCCTGCAAGGCTAGCACTGGCATTTGCCTTCACTTGAGCTACTTCACTTTCAACAGCCTTCATGTGCCTCCCCTTCTGCTCCATACTGGAAGCTTGCCCATCCTACTGGCACACACATGGATGTTATCCAAGGCAAATGAGCTGCATCCATTGCTATAGCAGGGTAATGATGTGCCCGTGCTGCACAGGCACAGCCTGCAGGGCAGAATGGACAAGCAGGGAGAGGGAACAGGATGGAATTGTTCTGGAAGGGTTTGTGGAATTCCTCATTTCCCAGGGGAACCCTGACTAAGCTGCCCAACCAAGGGACAACTCATGCCAGGAACTCCCAAGGTGATCCGGAAGCCTGGGGCACTCTCACACCCTGGCATGCCCTGCACCAAGCCACGTGGGCAGAGTGGATCCAGCCTGCTCCTACCCTTGCTTGCTCTGAACCACACCCTTAGGCAATGCAATTACTGGGTAAGGGACTGAATCTCATCCCCTGGAGCCTGGTGCAGGTAAATCTCCTCCTCCCTTACCCCGGATGTGAACTGAGCATCACTGTGTAAACCAGCCATAGGAAAAAGAGGCAACAGACACAGAAAGTGCAGTCCTGGCTTGGGTATTGGACTTGGAACATGACATTTCCTTCATAGAAATGGCGAGAGGCAGGTTCTGAACTCCAGTTACTACATCCCTCTGCTGCACGAGCATCTTAGGCTCCTGATCCATAGAATCACAAGAGTGGTTTGGGTTGGAAGGGACCTTAAAGCTCACCCAGTCCCAACCTCCTGCCACCCCTCTGTTTCCACTGGAGCAGGGTGCTCCAACCCCTGTGTCCAACCTGGCCTTGAACAGTGCCAGGGATGGGGCAGCCACAGCTTCTCTGGGCACCCTATGCCAATGTCCTACCACCCTCTAATAGGGAAGAGCTTCTGCCTAAGATGTAACCTAAACCCTGAAACCATGTTTCAGTTTTAACCTCTTTTCCTATTACTCCAGCCCCGATGAAGGAAAATATCTGCTTTCCTTCTCATAGCACAACCAGGGTTTGGTTGCCCATGGACCTGTAATAAGGAATTACAGGACTAAGAATGCTCCTCTGCACCTCGCATTCCTGTGCCCTGCAAGTAAATAGAGGGCTGTAATTCCTCTGGGTGCAAACCAGCTCCTTGCTGCTGCCTTGCTCTGGGGCTGAGCAGAGCAGGAAACACCATTGCCATGCACCTCCTTGGGAATGGCTGGGAATGACCTTCCCTAAGCACACCCCGGAGATTACCAGCGCTGTTTGCTTTCAGTTCCTGCTGGATCCAGTTTGCCAGCTCCCTCTTTGCTTTCTTCCCTTTTCTATTCAAGGCATTCGCTGGGTTGGGCCGCACTGGGACAAAGGCTGCTTTCTTCAGGGGCCTCCTCCCAGGCGACACGGTTTGCACTGAAAAGCAGCTTCAAAATGGCAGGTCCCCTGCTCCATTTACCTGCCCACAAAGCCAGCAGCAGCTCAGCCACTGCTGCCAACCTGCTGAGCTCCATGGGCTTCCTACAGAGCCACAGGACAAAGCCATCCCTGAGGAGACCCCAAAGCAAAGCTTAAGGGGATGGAGCCACTGGAACCATGTAGGAGCAATGCAGGCAGGAAGCCAGGCAGCTTCCCTGCACTCAGACACCTTACTATGGGTAGAAACATCTCCCCCAAGCAAAAAAGCTGGAGACATCTCGGCAAGATTCTAACTACAGCTACAACTGTGACACCAACCCAACTACATCATTACACCAACCCAATTACACCATTACACCATCTACACCATTACACCATCTACACCATTACACCACCCCAACTGCACCATTACACCAACTACACCATTACACCACCCCAACTACACCATTACACCAACTACACCATTACACCAACCCAACTGCACCATTACACCAACTACACCATTACACCAACCCAATTACACCATTACACCAACCCAACTGCACCATTACACCAGCTACACCATTACACCACCCCAACTACACCACTACACCAACTACACCATTACACCACCCCAACTACACCATTACACCAACTCCACCATGACACCAACTCAACTACACCGTTACACCGACCCAACTACACCGTTAGACGGGGAGATGATACGTTACTTGGTCTTGAAATCCTCAACAAGATCCTGCATGTTCTTGAGCTCGCCCTCCAACCGCCCTTTGTCGTTCAAGAGCCCGTCGAGCTGCCGCCGCAGGTTGCTGATGTACGTCTCAAACATGGGAGCAATGTTACTGCGGGTGGTTTTCTGGTCCTGGAGGAGGCTCCATTTGGTCTCCAGCATCTTGTTTTGCTGCTCCAGGAAGCGGACCTGGAAGACGATGCGGGGTCATTTGTGAAAGCAGGAGGAAGGGGGAGCTGCCTCAGAGCTGATCCCGGGGGAAGGAAAGGCAGGGGATGGGAGCTGAAGGATTTAGATTGCCCACAGGGAGCACTGTGAGGGGGATAAAGACCAGGAGGGAGCAGTTATGACTTCAAGGCTTTGGAGGAACTCAAGATAAGCAGATTGACAGAAGCCATCCACAAAGCCCAGGCAATCACCCAAACTCCAGGTCTGGATTCCTTGCATGTCAAAGATGCCAGAGCTGAAGTTTACACAGGCCATAGGATCAATTAGTGCAAGAGAGCAAAGCCACAGGGTGCAGGGCAGTGCAAACACAGCAAGGTCTGACTTACATCAAGACCTGTTTCTACTGGGAGGATTCCTCTCCAGGAGGCCCCCTCCTCCCTGCATTTGGTGTGCTTGGGTGCAGACTGGATCTTAAAGCCTGCATCTACATTATGGGCAACAGCTAAATAAACTGAAGAGGCTACTGGTCACCCACATTATGGGCAAGAACAGCTAAATAATAGGGGACACACACTAAAGAAAAGCTATTTCCCATCCCCATTACAGGTAATAGCTAAATGAAAGGGGTACAAAGCAGGCCTAAGCAGGGCAAAACCCTTTACAGAAGGCCATGGGTAACTACAGAGGGCTTTAATAGGAGTTATTGTATTGCAGCAGGCAAATCACACCGGGCTCCTGCGGACCCGATCCTGAGCCCATCCATGAAGCCCCCATTGGATTAAGCGAGCTTCAGCCCAGATTTGCCCACCGGGATTTCCCCAGCAGCTCACCTTGTCGATGAAGGAGGCGAATCTGTTGTTGAGGGTCTTGATCTGCTCCTTCTCCTCCTTGCGCACCCGCTGGATGTTGGGGTCGATCTCCAGGTTCAGGGGCGTCAGGAGGTTCTGGTTGATGGTGACCTCCTGGATGCTGCCGGAGCCGGGCGCCCCAGCGAGCCCCATGCCCCCATAGCCGTACCCCGAGCGAACGCTGTAGGCGCTGCCCCCGCCCAGGGACACCCGCTTGCTGCCGGAGCCCAGGCTGTAGAGGCTGGAGCTGCCGAAGCCCCCAGCCCGGCTCAAGCCGGAGCCGCCTCCGAGCCCGCGGGTGGAGGAGACGGTGCTGACCCGCACGTGGCTGATGCCAGGGCCGGCGGCAGAGCGGGAGCTGAAGCTCACAGAGCGGGACATGGCTGCTCCGCGGTACCCAACGCCTCGGGGCTCAGGGCAGCGGCGCTGGAGCGCAGGGAGTGAGCGGAGCGGCCGCCGCCTCCCCTTTTATCCGTTAGGAGAGCGGGGCTTGGCCCGAGGGCAGGAGAGGAATCGGTTTACGGCGGGGAGCTGGGAGTGCCCGGCAGCGCCCACCCCCTGCCTGCGGAGCGAGCGGAGGGAAGGGACGGGCAATGAACAGGCAAGGGACAGGGAAGGGACGGGCAAGGGACAGGGAAGGGACAGGCAAGGGACAGGGAAGGGATGGGCAAGGGACAGGGAACGGATAGGCAATGAACAGGTAAGGGATGGACAAGGGACAGAGAAGGGATTGGCAAGGGACAGGGAAGGGATGGGCATGGGACAGGGAAGGGATAGGGAAGGGACAGGGAAGGGACGGGCAAGGGACAGGGAAGGTATGGGTAAGGGACAGGGAAGGGACAGGGAAGGGACAGGGAAAGGACAGGGAACAGATGGGCAAGGGACAGGGAAGGGACAGGGAAGGGACAGGGAAGAGATGGGCAAGGGACAGGGAACGGATGGGCAACAAACAGGTAAGGGATGGGCAAGGGACAAGGAAGGGATGGGGAAGGGATGGGGAAGGGACAGGGAACAGATGGGCAAGGGACAGGTAAGGGACAGGCAAGGGACAGGGAAGAGATGGGCAAGGGACAGGGAATGGATGGGCAATGAACAGGTAAGGGATGGGCAAGGGACAGGGAAGGGACGGGCAAGGGACAGGGAATGGATGGGCAATGAACAGGTAAGGGATGGGCAAGGGACAGGACACACCTGGTGCTTCCCTTCATCTCCGCCGCAGGGGATGCCACCCTGGAGCCCATGGTAAGGGTTGTAACGGGACAGCTCCAATCCCCCTGTCCTCAAGGCTCCTCCATTCCTCTGCACTTGCCTAAATGGAGGTTGAAATGAGAAGGAATATGGACTGATTTGTAACACTCTTCCAGTAACACAGCAGGAAAGAGGGAAGAGGCCTCAGCTCAGTGAAGAGAGGGATATGGACTGATTTGTAACTCTCTTGCACTAACACAGCAGGAAAGAGGGAAGAGGCCTCAGCTTAGTGAAGAGAGGGATATGCACTGATTTGTAACTCTCCTGCACTAATACAGCAGGAAAGAGGGAAGAGGCCTCAGCTTAGTGCCTGGTCCAGCTTCATTTAACACACAGCAAAGCCAGCCTCAGCCTTGCTCACTCACCCCATGCTCTGCCAGCAGCAGGGCAGACCAGAGATGCCACTGCTGGCCCTGGGTTTGCTTTCTCTCTCCTGTTCCAGTTAACATCAAGGTGGTTTGGGCGGGCAGCACCGTGCTCATGGAAGCAGCCAACACTGGTTCAGGCTCCAAAGGAGACAGGTTTCTGCTTATATTCCTGTGCAGGAGAGGCAGAGACAAGAATGAGCTGCATGGGCGAATGCAGAAGCCTGGAAGGGACTATCGGGTTGTAAATCCTCCATGACATTTCAGAGTCTGGCCTGAATGTGTCACCCTTCATCTCTCCCCCTCATCAGGACAGCCAGATAGCGCTGGTTACACGTTCTGGCCACAGCCTATTACAAGCATGCACTTCCTTCCTTGTGGGAGATGGGAGCTGGCTGGAGAGCCTGCTTGCTAAGGGGAATTCTCATTCTGAAGAAGGCAAAGGGGGAGGTTGAGCCAGAGACATCCAAGGCAGGATCCCCCCTGCCCTGCAGGCTGGCTCGGCTTCCACTGCAGAACAGATACAACCCAGTGCAGGCAAAGCACACTCCCAAGTTACACACACCCAGGTTTACTAATGGCTGATGGGGTTCCCTTTACAGAGGTGCAGGTGCTTTGAGCTCACAGAGCTCCCTTGCTGCTCCCTGCCTTGTCTCAAGGCACAGGGGTTGAACTGAGCATGATGGAGATACGCTACCAGAAAGGCAAAGCTGCTCTCAGCAGCCGCAGCAGGAACAGCAGCTCAGTGCTTTGCACTGTCAATGGAAATCCATCCCCTGATCTCAACCACCACGCACAGCACCACTGACTTTAGGTAAGGATGAGCCCATCTCCCATTCAGAGCTGAACTGAGCTTCCCTCTGCTTTGCACTGTCAATGGAAATCCATCTCCTGATCTCAACCACCACGTGCAGCACCACTGACTTTAGGTGAGGATGAGCCCGTCTCCCATTCAAAGCAGAACTGAGCTTCCCTCTGCTTTGCACTGTCAATGGAAATCCATCTCCTGATCTCAACCACCACGCGCAGCACCACTGATTTTAGGTAAGGATGAGCCCGTTTCCCATTCAAAGCTGAAGGAGAGCCTCAGGAGGGCCTCATTCACCTTGCTGCTTCACTCCCCACTCCCAGTATCACAGCTAACCCAGATCCCCTGCACCCATCCTGCAAAGGGAACATTCCCCATTGAAATCCGGTTTGAAGGCAGGTTAAGTGAGAGCAGGATCCGGCAGTGGCGAGCTGTCACGAGCAGTTTTGCTTGTGTTGCTGGGTGCCATGGTGACACTCCGGAGTTTCACAACCCAACAGGCTGGTAAATACTTCCAAGCCCATTGAAGTGACCTCCAGGGATTCAGGTTTGGTGGCTGCTGAGACACCCTCCTGGGGAAGTGAATGCTTTGACGTTGTTGGTGTTGGAACTGTTGTGTTTGGTGGCCCAACAAGCCAGCCCTGCACACCCCGAACAGCCCATCACTGCGCACCGATGCTCACAAAGCCACTGAAAGGGTCACAGATGCCAACTCCCTCCCTAAACCCTTGGGAAAACAAATCAAGGTCTCAATTCCAGCCCAGAAAGCGCAGGGGGATGTAGGCAGGGAACCAAATGTGGTCCTGTCCTAAGGGAAGAGGAAGGAGTCTTTGCAGGCGAGCAAATCTGTGTGTTAAGAACACGCTCAGCAGCGACAACCCGCTGCTTCCCCATCTTCTGCCCCTACCCCAGGGCTACCTCTTGCTGTGTCTTTAGAGAACAGTGTTTGGACTGAAACCCTCCTGGAGCAGGGAGTGCCCCTGGCTCTGGTGTTTGCACAGCGCAGCCCCAGGGTTGCGATTGCTGCTCCCAAGTGCTTCGGAGCTGAGTCATCAATTCCTGAGCGTCCCAGCACTGAGCAGGGCTGCGGTGGGCTCACGAGGGGGGTATCACGATAGCACTGATGGGGGTGTCACGATAGGGCTGTCAGGACACTCTCAAGCTGTTCTTGCTAACAGCACCCAAAAGCAGCACTTCCACCACCACCTGCAGCCCTACAACCCCCCTGTGCTGTACCCACAGCAACCCCTTCCCGGATCTCCATAGCCTCAATACCAAACATTCCCAGCTCATCCCTAATTCCTGTGACTCCAGAGGGAACTTCCCAACCGCAGGCCCCATGTGCTGACAGCCTGATGAGCCCTGCTCGAGGAGGTGCTTATCTCCCAGGGGGTTTTATTGCTTTATGTAGTCCTGCTGCCTGTGTCACTGGGGCTGTAAAGCTCCATATAATGACGCAGCTCTTCGGAAGGCTCTTCAGGAAGGCACCAGCAGCCTGGGCCTTTGTTCCAAAGGTTGGTACCTCACCATAGTTATTGCCTGGCAACAGGAACCCTCCAGCTATAACACAGGGCCTTACATCTCCTAGGTTCACCCATTGGTGTCTTTCAGTGCTCTGCCACTGCCCATTCCCAAAACACTTCACTGGCTCTTTAGAACCTGCTGTGATTCCCCTGTTAATGTGAAGTCACCCCCTTTCACTGGATAAACTGAATGGGTTGAAGGAGGGGATCCTGCCCCTCTGTTCTGCTCTGCTGACACCCCACTGGCAGCACTGGGTGCAGCTCTGGTGTCCTCAGTATAAGAACATGGAGCTGTTGGAGCAAGGCCAGAGGAGGCCAGGAGGATGCTCAGGGGTTGGAGCAGCTCCCATAGGAGCCAGGCTGAGAATATTGGGGCTGGAGAAGAGAAGCTGCGTGGAGAGCTCAGAGCAGCTTCAGGGTCTGAAGGGGGCTACAAGGATGCTGGAGAGGGACCTGCATCAGGGACTGGAGCAATGGGACAAGGGGTGATGGGTTCAGACTGGAACAGGGGAAGTTCAGGTTGGAGATAAGGGAGATCTCCCCTGTGAGGGTGCTGGGACACTGGGATGGGTTCAATGGAGAAGCTGTGGCTGCCCCATCCCTGGCAGTGCTCAAGGCCAGGTTGGACAGAGCCTCGGGTGAGGGCTGGAACCGGGGTGATCTTCAGGTCCTTTCCAACCCAACCTATTCTGTGATTCTGAATCTTCACCTATTTCATGACCAAGCGGCTTTCCTGAGCACTTGAAGCCACCCCGTGGCCTCTCTCCGCTCCAGTGCCCTTGGCACGAGCATCAGTATTGTTCGTGCGGCGCCTTCATGCAGTTCTACACGTGGAAACTGCATTTTACCCTCACTCCTCCAGCCCTGCAGCTCCCAGAGCCTCAGGCCTCAAGCTCAGGATGTCTCAATTCACCGGCTCCCACCTAAGCTCCACCGTGTCTCCTTCCTGCACCAAAGAACAGCTTTGGTATAAAGGGAGGCATCACAGGGACCAGCAGGAAGAGCTGGACACAGCTTGCCTGGGGTGGCAGAGCCACCTCCATGCTCATAAGGCTGATGGCAAGCTCCTGTCCCTGCAGGAGCTCTGGGTCACCTCTGCTCTGTTGAGGCTTGGAGGCTCTCAGCTCCTTGCCACGTATTCCAGCACCAAGAAACACCTCTTTAAGCCAGAACTGGCCACGCTTGTTCTGTTCCTGAAGCCCCCATAAAGCATCACTCTAAGCCTTAGATAACAGCACATGTGTTACAGTGAGGTTGTAGTGAGTGGGGTCGGTCTCCGCTCCCAAGGAGCAAGGGATGGGACAAGAGGAACCGGCCTCAAGCTGCACCAGGGCAGGTTTAGATGGAGCTGAGGAACAATTCCTGCCCCAGAGGGTGCTCAGGCATTGGAACAGGCTGCCCAGGGCAGGGCTGCAGGCACCGTCCCTGCAAGTGCTCACACACATGGGTTAGTGGTGGCCTTGGCACTGCTGGGGTAAAGTGCTGTGGCTGCAGCAATGGGAACCTCTGCACGTTGCCATAAGCATGGACAAAGCAGCAAAGCCAGTCCATGCAGGGCTGTGGGATCCCTCCTGGGGACAGCAGATCCTCTCTGTGCCTGACACTCAGGGGAAGCATC